TAGCTGCACATAACAGAACATTGGGGCATGAAATAAATCTGAAGAAAATGAAGAAAAAGTACAGCAAAAGCTGGCCTAGTGACTTGGTGAGTAATATGATAACCTGATAATATCATGTAGCATAGCTTTGCCATCACGCACAGGAGGACTGGAGGAGTGTTGCCTTTGGAGTCAGCCATGACCTATGGATGAATATAAGCTAGCTCTGATTTGCAATACGAGGGGAGCAGCCTGGTGTGATACAAATTCGGCCACCATAGAGGAATCTCATGAACAGAGACAGCCAGGGCGCCATATTCGTCATCGTCTACTACCACCTTGGCCCTGTCAAACTATGGCGTCGAGCTTGCAGGCAGAGTGGCTAAAGGCCACAGTGGAGCCCACCTCCAGTAACAGGAACGACACAAGCAACAACCACCATAGAGGAATCTCATGAACAGAGACAGCCAGGGCGCCATATTCGTCATCGTCTACTACCACCTTGGCCCTGTCAAACTATGGCGTCGAGCTTGCAGGCAGAGTGGCTAAAGGCCACAGTGGAGCCCACCTCCAGTAACAGGAACGACACAAGCAACAACTATGTGAACACATTTGTGAATGATGAGAATCAGATGGTAAGCTTCAGAATACCTGTGTACGGCCGGCAAGTACTCCTTGCTAGGCTCGTCGCACCCTGCCCTGGGGTTCAGCGCAGGTGGCGGCGACGTCTCGGAGCCCTCGCCCCAGAGCGTCCCCGACGACTGCAGCATCGTCCCCTGGTGCTCCTCCTCCACCTTCCTCTCCTTTCCCAGAGACATGGAACGGGCCAGGCCCTACAGCATCGACGAGATCTGCCGAATTCTCGCTAGCCAAGATCAAGAGCCCCGCTCGATCGGCTGATTCTACAGAGAAGCTTCTACTTCTTCCTCCCCTCTTCCATGGTTGGCACAAGGGACGTGATGAGAGGAACGGGAGGCAACGCCTCATCCAGATCCAGATCGGGCAGGGGTGAGTGTAGGGGAGGGGGGCGAGGCAGGCGGAGGGACGGGCAACAGCGGAGCAGGGCGGCGGGGGCCGGCGGCGGCTGGCGAACCCTAGAGCAGGGGCGAGGCAGGCGGAGGGAGGGGCAACAGCGGAGCACGGCGGCGGGGTACGACGGCGGGTGGCGAACCCCGAGAGGACCGAGCGACATCGAGGAGAGGCAAGACCGAGGGAGAGGGAGGAGTTGGATCCAGCGATGCGGAGGGGGAAAACCAACAGGGAGCACTGGACGAAAACCAACAGGGAGCACGGGGGCGGCGGCGGCGGAACGGGAGATGGGGGCGACGGCTTCTCCTCGAGGGGATCGATACGAGAGGTGTTTGTGCGGGTTTTTTTTGTGTGTGTGCGTCTGGTGGGGTGTGGGGGACGAAAAAACCAGCGAAAAAAAATCGAACGAAAATGATGGGACGAAAATAAAATTCGGAACGCAACCTACCAACTGAGACATTAGGAGTTTAGATTAATGAAAGACCGACGGAATATCTGCCATAGCACCGTAACGCGCCAACGCACAAAGACGACGCAGGCGGGCCCCGCGACGCTGTCACGGGCCCGACCGAGACGACCGACCCGACGAGCATTCCGTTTGCCAAGGCAAGGCACCAGGGACGAGGAACCCGTCTGCATCCCACCCACGTTCACACCACCGTAACCGCCCACCAAACCACACCAAAGCGGGCTAAGAAAATAGAAAAGAAAACGAAAAGGAAAAGGTGAAAACCAAACCCGCAGGCGCGCACGCAGGGGGCCTCCCACGATCACGTTCGCGACCCGTGCCGTGCCCCCACTAATTCCTAGATCCAGCCCACTCTCACCCACCCCATCAACGCCCCGTCCACCCCCTGTCCTCGCCTCCACCATCTCTCTCTCGCTCTCCCTCGCTGCCTCTCCTGCGTCGTGCTCCCAGTCGGCGGCCTCCTCCGGCCACCCGTCTCAGGTCAGGCCCTCCTCCTTCTTCTCCTCCTCCTGCGCCCCTCTACGCTCCAATGCCGCGCCGCCGGCGACGGGAACGATCCGTACGGCGTCGCTCGTCCGGGCGCGCGGCTTCGATGCGTGCTCTGTTTCCTAGCAAGCAGTGCGGCGCGAGCAGTTCGATCTCGTTGCTTTCCACTTCGGCTAGTAAACTTCGAGTAGCGCTTAGTTTCTGTGCATTTCCGGGCGATGAGCGAGTTAACGACGCGTAGCACCATGTGTTCGTGGGCCGTACGTTAGATTTCGTTCCATCCGAATGCATCCGAGGCTTGCTGCTTTCAGGGTTCATGTATGGCAGGGACGAAACTGGGATGGACGGAATTCATTGCACAGTTGCGCTTTGTAGACTACAAACCCAGCCTCAAAAGGAAAACAAAGTGAAAAGTAACATGGACGTTCCTGTCGAAACTGATGCGTCAAACTAGTACTACTACGTAGGTTCCTGTTTGGGGCTATTTTCTGGTGACTGCTTTCCGCCTTCGAATTTCCTTTTTTCGAGAAAAATGCATCTTTGGATTTGTGCGTTTGTCACTTGTACAGTAGTATGCACCGGCCACCGAGTAGTGAACTGGTTTCGAGTAGTGAACTAGTGATAACGCTGGTTTCAACGGGGGATCGGATAACGATTTTTGCGTCCTAGGCTGCTGGATTTAGATGCTGTAGCTTGATACTTCCTGGTAGGGAGCAAGACACTAGGAAGCTAGGAACTATCTGCGGGATGGAAGGCTTTTGGAGAAATTAGGAAGGAGAATGGTGAACTGAGACTGAGAAGCCGAGAGAGAAGAAAGCACATATGATCTATCTTGTTCATTCACATCCAGGCCACGGTTGCATGTATAAAATTCTACACTGTTGTGTCTTACCGAGCTCCATTCATTCACACCATTCATGTGCCCATATGCTTGGGGGAGTATATGAGACACTAGCAACTTACCAATTGCATTCTGTGTTCATTTTGGAGTTCCCTTTCATTTCAGACTTCTGATTAGCATGTTTTAGTACTACTCATTCAGAATTTATTCCCTGGAATTTCTGTTTATTATGCCCGCAAGAGCTTAGTAGAGAAATACTCCCCCCGTCCCAAAATATAATAGTGTCAAAAATGATCTTCTATTTTGGGACGGAGGGAGCAGTAGCTATTATATGCCCCTTTAATTTCTGGATGGTTGTTGCTTGAGGAAAGGGGGAAGATGAATTGCATTTAATTTTTGGGCCTGCATACAGCATATGAGTTATATTGCTGCCGTGGACCACAAATGTGGGCTTCATGGTGTTGCCTTCCATGCCTTTTAGGTTTTTGTCCATGGTACCGTGCATAATAACTGTGGTGCAGTCTTGCACCATATGCTTTCTATTATGAGGTTGTCTAATGGGTGAACATTCTAGATCCATATGTGGTGCATCATGAATGCATCTAGCTATACATTTCTATCTTCTGCTAAGTTGTCGAACCCTTGGGCTATTATATGTTGTCATCATGTATGCTGTTCACCAGATTTTTCAGTGAATGTTCACCCATCAGCTTCTTGGTTCTGTTATTATGTCTAGGGCTAGTTTCTGAGGTTGGACACCCGTTTCTGGAGGATAGACACTTTGTTTTTAAAAAGGTGGATGATCCTCTTTTTTGAATATTTTTATCCCATGACCGTTTTCTGTGTCACTACGTGCATATTCAGGAGCATGTATTTCAAGGGAATACTAAGAAGCTTGTATGCTTCATTTTCAGTATGGAAGTCTCAGCAGTTGCTGAGGTTAGGCCGAACAATTATCATTGCAGATATAGTAATATTGTGATCTA